TTCCTAAAGAAAGGAAGAGGCCTGAATCCGTTCCATTGATTTGTGTATCGACAGTTTTAGAGGTAACAAGAGCGTAACCATGCAACAGTAATATACTATTTAAGTATGTTCGATAAAAGGCTGGAATAATTTCAAAAAACTTTTTAATAGAAAATTCTTATTTAAAACAAATAAAATAAATAATATTAAATGAAAATTTGTTTAAAATCCAAACTGTTATATACAAACAATCTATTTCCTTGCCAAATTTTATCGAAATCTGTTCGTCGTCATCGAAGCGTGAAAAGATAACAGACCGAGTTACTTTCACATTTATAATATTAGTATGGATTTATCGAGAGAAGTTACAGGTTACACTTTCTGATGACCAAACGCAAAAACATAGAAAATAATTTAAATATTTTCTTTTTGAAGCATGAAAAAAAACAATATCAACAATAGACATACAAATTTTATCAATTTTTCATTTGATTATGAATATGTGATTTATGAATATCGTTACAAATATAAATTAACTGAAAACCCATAAATCATACCGTTAAAACGTATAATGGAATGTCTTGTAACCATTAAATCTTGCGTGTACGCCTGTGTATCGACAGCCTTCATAATAGCAAAATGCTCTACATTGTGTTACAGTAATGTACATAATAGTTGTTTCTGAGAAAAGTTTATTGAGTCACTTTAACATTCCTCCTATATAGGCAGTACATTTTATTACAATTTTATAACCCACTAGCTGTGTTTTCATCCGCGTTAAATTTGTTTGATAATATATTAACATCAGTTTTACAATAATATTGTGTGTATGGAAGCCTACCCGGTTTGTTGACATTTATTATTACTGCTGCGCTCCCTTGGGTAGTAGCATGATGACATATAACCTATAATAGCCTTCCTCAATAAACGAGCTATCTAATGCAAAAATATTTTTTGTAATCGGATTAGTAGTTCTTGAGATTATCGCGTTCAAACAAACAAACAAACAAACAAACAAACAAACAAACAAACAAACAAACAAACAAACAAACAAACAAACAAACAAACAACAAACTCTGTCTCTTTATAATAATAGTATAGATATTAAATCATTATAGTTCGTCATCATGTTTAGTTTTATGACACTATTTACATTTTACATTATTCCTTATTCTTAGTTACTAGCACTGCTAAAGACACCCACATACGAGAAAAGCCGCAAACAGTAGCTAGTCTTTATAAAGCCAGAAATACATTAACTTTGAACCAATAAATCATGTAACAACTAATACGCATAATCGAGTGTCGGGCAGGCACTAAATCTTACGTGTACGTCGTCTGTGTATCGACAGCCTAACACGAGCTTACTTGTCGCAGTCGAATTGTGAAATCGGACGATTTAGTTAAAGATCACAATAAGGTACTTCTTGTTAATGATCGTAGCAATTATATTGTGCGTATAAAGATAGAACGGTATGGTACAGTGGGTTTGTTGAGAGCTTAAGGAGGAAGTCGTGGGTTCGATTTTCAAATGAAGTTTTTGTTAATGATCAGATGTTTGTCGAATGGTTAGAACATAGCAGTGAATTAAGCAACCATTGGTAATATTACTAAAAATGAGGAAGCACTATTTAAATTTTAAGAAAAATATAAAATAAAACAATTACAATAACAAGTACCTAAAACAGTAATCGGTACCTACTACCAACAAGATTTATTAAAATTAACATTTTGAAAATTATGTTTAAATCAAATTCATAAAAACATTAAAAATATTACCTATAAATAACCAATTTCAATGAACCATCTTCCATATATCTATCTATATAAATAAAACTAAATGTTTTATATGTTTGTCCTCTATGCGTTTTTAAACCATTGATCCGATTGTGATGAAACTCTAGTGGGTTATTTTGTATACGACTGCGAAGTTTCCTGGCGCAAAAAAGAATTTTTCTTTGGAAGTTTGTCTTTTATGTGTTCCTAAACCATTCGAGCTCACGAACACACCAGAGCGAAGCGAGAGAAAATCGCTAGTAACATATAAAATCACAGGGCCTAACTAATTAACAGATTAATCAATATCGGTCTAGTGGTCTAGATTTTTACAGCGTTCCTATAATAACATAGATAGTATAATTATTAATTATTTGTATTACGGCGTTTTAAAAAATAAACTTTTTTAGGGATAGAAAACGAATATCACATTTCTGTGCACATCTAACCAAACAAACGACATTAAGCTCGAACTTAAACACCTTATTAGTGCTATAACGAAATCGATATCAAATCGATAATCGTTAAAATGTATATCTATAATTATTTAACCGAAACATCGACTTATAATTGAGCAACACATTACAACAGTTGGTAAGGACCGGGCATTTCCATAAACACCGTGTTAATATATTTAGCTGTAACACGGTCCCTTTCACTGCCCCTCTTTAATTAACGCGAACGTTAAGGCACAGTTGTGTAATATTGATAACGGATGGCAGTTCGCATTGTTACAGTATTATAAAATTGGAAAGCCATATACTGTCGTATGTATTTACATATGTATGTATATATATGTATATAATAAAATCGTGGTAACTAAACAGTTTTTATAATTTAATTAACACTATTATTCACTTTTATAGGTAAGTGAAAGTATTATCGTTTCTGATTTCATCGATGTTTTATTTTAATTTTATGTTCCCGGTGTATCGAATACTTTTCCAAATATAGAAATCATGGTAACGGTTAAATACATATGTCAGTTTATTGGTAGCCTATTTCCATTTTGCGAATAATGAATAATTTTTTCTAGCGTTAACGAAAATTCCGTTAAAATTGCTTCAGCCATTGCGGAGATAGTTCGATACAAACAAACGCACAGACAGAAAAAAATACCGTTGTTTGAGCTTAGATATCACGCAAAAAGCCATATTTACTACACGGCAAAAACACCTAGTGCGTCGTACAAATGAAATATATACTTTATATATTTGATCCTTCTTTACACTGAAACATATTGAACGATTTAGATAAAATTTACGATACAGATAGACTATAACCTTTTATTTAACGTTGGAAAATTCATTTGGGCATACCACCTGCAAACATACAGGTAGTTATGTAGGACTCACCAACAAAGCCAGTACTACCCACTAAAACCCAACGGAACCTCCCCCGTCTTAATGTGGCGTTACAAGATTGCTTACGCACTCAACCACGAGACCCCGACGGCAGGTCTGACAAAGTAGACCCACAACAAGATAGACTATAAACTGGAGTAACACATTGGCAACTGTTAGCAATAAGATTTAGCAAAAACTAACGCTGGTTATATATTATATCTTACTTAATATTATAAATGTGTTTAGATGGATGTTTGGATGTTTGTTACTCAATCACGCCAGAACGGCTGAACAGATCTGGTTGAAGTTTAGCACAGCGATAGATTATAGTCTTGAAAAGCACATAGGCTATTTATCCTGGAAAAATCTCTATACGCGAACCTGAGCGAAGTAAGGGTGAGCTGCTAGTTTTAAATAAATAAGAAGGCACCTAGGGACGCACTCAAGCGAAGTATAGTCGCTAGTTTTTTATACGTAAAGAGGATAGTGTTGCCCTTTAAGAACAGTTCAATTTAATGGACCGTTGACAATAACCACAAACAAACTACAATCATTAACGGCCTCTACGACCAGATCCTGTACAATATCCGGATCGTCATGACCTCGGACTTTTCATGACTTGCCCATACTCTACAATGTACTGCAACCTGATTTTGTAATAGGCGATAAGTCATTAATTTTCACAAAACAGCTTTATTATTGCTTTAGAAGGTTTTCGTATCTCAGTGCTATTTAAAATTAGTATCATAGGTTTGTTGCGTCGCGGGTTCAATTACTGGCAGCGACAATTGGTCTCATCAATACAGATTATAACTAATATCCTTCTCAGCTGGAAATAGCGGGTTCTAGTTTGGGACAAATATTTATATTGGCTAAGTATTTAAAGTATCTACTTTGGTTTTACGTCCGTGTGTGTAGCAAGTTTTCATCTAAAAGTCATTCCAAAAACGATTCAATGGACCAACTAAAGAAGTTTACAAAATTATAAATGTCTTAAGAAGTAAAATAAAAACAAATGTTGCAAAGTTATGTAACATTATTTCAATAGCAGGCACATCCTTATCGTCTCGATCTCGACTTTTCGTGTCTTGACCATATTGTAGGATGCGCTGCGACTCGATTTTGTAATTGGAAAAAGGTTACTTTGTTCTCATGGAGGGTTAATGTTTATGACGTTTAAAACAAAACAAAAATTTAAAACAAAGCGAAATTTTCGATAGAAAGGAACTAGCGAAATATAACTATTTTATAAAAAACAACATTATTATCTTACATTTTCTTTCTTGTTTACATATACAGGTAAATCTCGCGATAAGCGTTTATATAATATAAATTGTGTAATCTTATTTTTTTAATTGTTTTTTAACAATTCTTTTTTTTTAATTATTAGTATTCTTCTCAGCAAGCTTTTTCATTTGATATCCATATCATGGGTGTGCATAAAAACATAGTATGCCATCTTAGGGAGTCCGACGTATTCTATTTAAAATGACGTCACTTTGCTTATTGTGTTTTGCTGATCAAGCCCTTTTATTTGATGCCCATATCATAAGGGTCACTATGGACATAATCAATAGCCATTTTATGACGTCCGCTACCTTAGATTAAAAATGGCGACATTTAATGCGGTATGGAAATCGTTCATTGTCTCGGAAACTAAACTAATATGCCAAATTTCAGCGCAATCGGGCACTGAGAAGTGGGTCAAATTTAACTTGCAAGATTCCATTACACACACTGGGACTAAGTTTCTCGCCGGATCTTTTTCAGCCTTCCGAGCCGGTGGTAGATTCCTCACGAACTTACATACTGAGATTTAATTTTTAATAATATAAATGTAAATAACATCTAGGGCAACTAGATTTAACGTAAAAAATAAGAAAGTGTCAAACCACTCACCGAAGTGTTTTGAGCGGCGCCGAGGCGTAGGCGAACGTCGTTTCAGGCTGAGATCCACAGGTTCTAACTGAATTGGCGGTTCGCAGGCCTAGAAAAAAAATCATTAAAAATTTATGTATGTCGTAACCTAATATTCTAATATATTACGTTTTAACGTTTAGTATAGATTTCTCAGAGATGAGATATTTTCCCGCAGTAAAAAGTGTCCTATATTACTTTCTTAGATTTACGCGAATATTTGACATTTTAAATAAAACTATCTTTTAACAACTAACTTTTGTAGAAGTATATAATACGATAATACGTGTTGCTTAGTAAATTGTCTTTTTAAATAATAACAAACTAAATTAAAATTATTATTCTTAATTAATTTTAACTTTTTAAATTACACATAGAACAATTATGTGGCTTAAATAATTAATATTATATTTTATATTTTTTTCTTTATGGTTATAACATGGACGAATTCATGGGTTATAAATATAATAATGGCAACACTAAATAGGGATTACTAATTAATATTTTTAAAATTGTAATAATTATAATGATAACAGCAAAAAATAAATAAATAATATTCCATATTCAATTATAAAACTAATTAAAATTATAAAAATGTGTAAAGTTATAAAATATTGTAACGTGCAATTTTTTTATTTTGTTAATAGTGGGTAGGCTGTCTGTAACAACTATACCTTCGAGACATCTAACACCTCAGTCTCTCCCGTAACCATGATTGCTGTAAAGCATTCGAAACGTCGGGAACCAAAAATCAAAATAAATCCGCGAAATAATCCGAAAAGATAGTTTTATTTAAAAAGTATCCTATATGTTGACTCGGATAACCAGCTTTCATCATACCAAACATCAAAATCTGTCCAAATCTGTCTGTTTTCTCGTGATACGTTCCCACACAAACAGATAAAAATTATAAAAACTATAGATTCGGCCTCTGTATCGATAATAATGACTATTTCTATAAGATTTTCCAAATAATAATTAATGTACAGATTCGACTACCACAACAACCTTACGCTAGTACCTGTATATAATATATGGTCTTTGATGTTTTTATATTTAAACTAGCGACTCACCCTCGTTTTGCTCGGGTTCGTCTCTAGGTACGTTTTAAATAGATAAAAATAGTTATTAGCCAGCGTTAGCCAAATAAATTTTAATTTTTTTCCGTAAGTAGACCTTAAGGAACATACGAAAATTTTTTTTGCCGAATCGGTCCAGTCATTCTTGAGCTATGTGCTTACCAACATTCATTTTTATTTATATAAGATGTAATTTTTTTTCTGTTTTACATATAAACTTCTTGTTGTCTATGTGTACCTATGTATGTTTAAATTAGTAGAAACTTTGCTGGTTTGTGTAATATTTTATCTGTTAAGTAACTACTTATGTTACAAAATACTGTATATTTCCCAAATAAAATAAAAAAATAAAATAGTATATCTATCCCATACTAACCACTCAAAGGTACCGAGCGGACGAACCTGAATGAAGCGAGAGTGAACCGCTAGTCTAATATATAAATATCTCGTATCACGGTGTTTGTGGCCGCACTTCTCCATAACGGCTCTACCGATTTTAATAATCTTTTTCTGTATATTTGGTAGGTATAAGAATAGGTCATAAAATTTTTTTACCCTCCTACCCTCACCCACATTTTTTAATCGCGATTTTAGTATTTTTGTATGAACAATATATAGCGACAAACCCGAGCGAGGCGAGGGTGAGTCGTTGTATAACATAAAGCCAGAGATTTTTTTTGTAGATTTTTTTTTTAATGGGCTTATTCTTGACCTTCATCTTAGCTTGAAAGCATAGATAAGGTCTATGATCTAGCGAGTTTGCCCAGGAGAAGCCTGTTGACACGCACCTTAAAAAGTTTCAGGTTGTACGCTCTCGGAAAAACAGACGCAGGCAGGGCATTCCATTTCTTAGCTGTGCGCATTATAAAAGATGATGAATAGCGCTTAGTGCGAGTGTTCAGAATATCAACCAAAAAAGGATGGTATCCTGCAGTTCGATTGAACGCGGGCGTAGCCGCGGGTTCTGCTAGTATATTAAATATTAATATTCTACACTGTATAATTTAACTTTAACACACTTACTTTATTATCTCTATAAAAACTTAGGTAAAGTTACCGTTAAACTATTACATTGTACATAATATTATCCAAACAAGTTATGAATAAAGATGGCAACGATTAGATAATTTTATGAACAATTATAAAGCGATTAAGAGTTGCAGGAATTTATAATGTTAAGTAGATGTAAAAAATGCCCATAATCTATTCTAATTTAATATAACTAAAGGCTGTTGTTTTGTTAGTTTGAACTAATTTCTTGAACTGTCTTGTCAGATTTAAAAATAGATTTTGCATTTTATAGCTAATTTATTTATAAAAGACGCAGAAGAAAGTCTGTGAGGATAGATGGTATTGAGATATTTGTTACTTTTTGAAGTAAAAACTACTAAAAGCGTTTTGATGAAACTTTACAATAACATAGCTTACACATGAGAGTTACAGAAAGCCTATAACTTTTAGAGATATAGTGATACATAATTGAACTATAAAAATGACGACACGTTTGGCTCAGTTTGTAGTGATCTTACTTGCTGTGCCAGCGGTCGCGGGTTCGAGTCCCGCTGGGGCATTCATTTGTGTGATGAGCACGAATGCTTGTGCTCCAGTCATGGGTGTTTATATTTATAATATGAATATATTCAAAGTTATATATGTGTAGTGTATTAACTATCTGGTATCCATAACACAAGCCTTGTAGCTTACCATGGAACTAGGTGGTGCTATGTGTTAATGTCCCAATATATTTATATTTATTATTTACTCTAGGTATATTCCTTTTACTCTATGCACACGACCGGTTTCCTAACTTCCGGCCGTGTACATTTTCCGGCTTGAACATTTTGAGACAGAAATACACAATAACTATTTTAGCCCGACCTAGGACTTGAACCTAGGACTTCACAATTTGCAACCGTAAATGCTAGCCACTAGCCCAACGAGACAATTTGGCTAATCTACATATAATAAATTTCTAACTGAGACGAATCTGTACATTACTAAATATTTTTTGGAAAATCTTATTGATACAGAGGCCGAATCTATAGTTTTTAGAAGTCCGTATGTCTGTCTGGGAAAAGAGAAAACCACTGGACCGATTTTGATGAAATTTGATATGATGATAGCTGTTTATCCGGGTACATATATGTAGGATACTTTTTACTACAGGAAAATATATCTCTGAGAAATCTATACTAAACGTTAAAACGTAACTAGGGACGAATCCGAGCGGAGCGAGGAGGGCGAGTCTCTAGTCTATATACATATAATAAAATTGTAACTAAGCCGAATCTGTACATTAGATATTTTTTGAAAAATCTTATTGAAACAAACATTATTATCGATACAGAGGCCGATTCTATGGTTTTTTAAATTTTTGTCTGTCTGTCTGTCGGTTACCGCATCACAGAAAAACCACTGGAGGGATTTCAAGAAAATTTGGTATGTTGATAGCTGGTTATCCAGGTCAACATATAGGATACTTTTTACCTCGGGAAAATATCTCATTTCTGAGAAAAAATACAAGAACTGCAATGTAAGAGTTTACTAATATGTAAAACCTAAGAATTTGGTTTTTGGTCATCTGAACGCGGGCGGAGCCGCGGGCAATGCTAGTATACAATAAAACTGGACTACATAGACACACAGTCAAAACAAAGCCACCGACAATAAATAGCTAATAAATAATCACAACATTTATTTAAATAATCAAAATATACATTCAAAATTTAATTTTCCTACATTGTAAGCCTTTGTAAATATTCATTGTTTTAATTATAACTAATTACAACAATTAACTGTTTATTTTCCATTTATTGTTTATTATTCGACAAATTGATTACTTATTTAATTACAATTTATAATCTTTTAATCGTGTTTTTATCAAATTATTTATAAGAATATTTGCACATTGACGATATTGAAGCATTGTTATTCATCTTTAATCTTTATAACTTAAGTTTACATAAATAACTATAAAAAACTTATTTTTCTACTCTATCGAAGGAACCCCCAAAAGCAAGTGGTATAAATAAAAACTGTGTGTGCATGTGTGTGCAATTCACTCACCAAACACAACACGAAAAGTAACCTACGAGAGAATGAGATGAATATAGAGTGTCAGGAGTGAGATAGTTAATTATAAAGTTTATTTTTACCAAGTTTAAAAGTTATTTTACATTTTATTTAACATGTATTATGTAATAGTACCTGGTCCACCGAGCTTCGCTCGGAGTTTTTGGTTGAAGAGTACAATTTTCTTTAAAAAAGGAACTATAAACTTGAATAAATACAAAAAAAATAAAAATAAATTATACCTTTATATCCGACCGGGATTCGAACCTGGACACCTATGATTGTCAATCTAGCGTCTTTTAAAAAAAGCTAAAACTTGAATAAATATAACAAAAAAATAAAAGTAAAAACTGTATGCGACCGAGATTCGAACCTTTTTAAATATATATATATATATATATATATATATATATATATATATATATATATATATATATATATATATATAAGTACTACTTGATACATATGAATATATGAACCATACATGAATCTAAATTCTAAGTAATTAAAAGCTAAGTAAATCACAGCGCACATTCTAAGGTCGAGATACCCATCATTGATTGCGCAAAGGACGTCGTGTACCACGCCTGTATATCGCTTACTATGGCAAAACTAACGTTACAAACTTTCATACACGCTTTGTTTTATTGATTCACATTTATATAATACTTTCTTAGAAATAAAAATAAATTTTCAAAATATTTTGCAGATTCATTTTGGTTCCCGACATTTCGAAATGTTTACAGCAAACATGGCTACGGGAGATATTCTTTTAAATAAACGATAATCTATTTACTTAATATTATAAAGAGGCAGAGTTTGTTTGTTTGTTTGAACGTGATAATCTCAGAAACTACTAATCCGATTTGAGTAGATTTTAGGCTATAGGCATATATATCATCACGCTACTATTAATGTT